AAATCATTTGTAGTGATTATGCTTTTTAGATTGAATAAATTCCAATTAATTAGATATTTTTCATAATAATTAATTGTAATTATGTTGAGGATGAATTCAAACTGTCATGACTGCTTTTGACGTAGCTCAGTAGGTCTTATCAGATGGCTTGATTTCGGATATTCTTATAATATAGTATAGTAAACCTTTTTGTTTTCTCTAGGATTTTTGGAAATTTAGGAAGAATCAGGCTGCACTCTTTTTTCAAGTTTTGACAAAGGGTAGTAACAATGTTAGAAATGACGATGATATAAGGATTTGTAAAATCGTATAGTGCATTTTCTACCAATTTTTTATTCTGTGAGATTATTGAGAAGGATTTTTCGCAAAGCGTTTTGGAACTCGATAGTTTAAAGGTAGGTGCAATATTGTAGTAAATAGTAAATTGTTTTGGTATGAAGTCGTGTGATTACGTCAGTTCTTGATTTATGTTGTAGGCTTTGTTAAAAATGCGAATTGATTTGTTGAGATTGTGATTTATTAATTTGTGTGTATGGTGTGGATGTGGGTATCAGCGTCAGTGTCGGTGTGACCACTCATTTTAGTGAAACGCAGAAGAACACCCAGACCCACCACCCACACCCCACATAGGTTAACCATGCTATTTTTGACGATTTCATGCATACATAGTAACATATCTAGGATAGATCAAGTTAAATGAAAGGGTGTGGGTCTGGATCTGGGTGTTCATCTGCGTTTCACTGGAGAGAGTAGCCACACCTACACTCAGGTGTCGTGGAATAGAGAGATTTATTTCATGTAAGAGTTTATAAAGAGATTCTGAGTCAGACATCATACAAAATTTGATCGATAAATGCAATGACTCAAGAAAGAGGGAAGTCTAAATCTGGATGATTGACACCCATGTACTAATGGATATTCAACTGACGAAGATTATGATGAGATAATAGTTTTTGATCAGACATTGAAGAACTAATGCGGAAAATTTTCAAATTCAATCGAATAAAATTTGATGTATTGGTGGGTACTCGACGGAAATCTTTTCGAGTACACAGTAGAATTGTGGTAGAGTATAAACTGGAAAGAGATGAACTAATAAACTCAGTAGTTTTGATAATGTCTTGGTGTGTCATTGAAATCGTACCCCCAAAACCATTGAAATGCGGCGCATACTACTAGACTTAATTTTGAGATATGTCAAATTGATTAACTGGTCAAGTTGTTGAACTTATTCGCAAGACAATACCTCGATGGACATTGAATGAAGTGTGTCATGAAAGCAAAGAATAGATAAATTTAGACGTTTTTGTCGAAGTTTCATGTGAGTAATTCGCAATGCATAGACATTAATATCATTAAAAGTATCGTTCTCACCATTGATAACAAGAGAGTTCTTTTTGAGATCATACAATAGAGCATTCAAATGACTATTAAGTCCGAAAAATCTTCGATAGAGTTAATGCAGTTTCAACTATGAAAATAGATCGTAATATAGTTCATTGGGAAAATCTTCCATAAGTCAAACAGCTGATTGATCAGACATTGTCATTTATGTAGAAACGAGAAACTTCAAATGAAACAGATCGATCTTGCACAGTCATGTTAATTGTTACTGAAATCAATGACATGTTGTGAGTCAAAGATTTGATGTATCGATTAATAATGCAAGAGCATGAAAGTGTAATGTTATCATGCAAATATGCTCTATTGTGATCGATCTGTATCGAGAGACCTTTTGACTTTGTAATCCAACTTTCAATATTGAGTATATTTATTAATTAGTAAGACGAAAAAAAAAGAGAAGGAATGAATCAATAGTCAAAAACGAAATAACTCTACTTATAATTTACTATCATTTTTTGTATTAGTCAAACGAACAATTCGTACTCAGACGAGAGAAATCTGAAAATTAGCACTAAATTCTTCCTGTCAAGATAATCGATTTTTTTGGAGTCATATATTTTCATGAGACATGCAAAATATTTTTCTGATTAGAGTTTTGGAATTATCAAACAATACTCTTCATGGACACTCGCATTCACACATTATTCGACTTTTATTTTGATCAAATCAAAATCATTCACATATATACTTCACTTCAAGCATGTTAGACTATATAAACATGCCTGACGGCATTTTCGTTTCTCTTTCTCTTTCTCTTTCTCTTTCTTTCGTATCATTTAAATGATTTGATCTATCTGTTCGTTCGTTATGTCTACTTTAAACATGAATGAACAACCAAGATTATTTGAAGATTTATCTGTCGAACTTTTTAATCTTATATTTGAATATTTGACACCTCATGATCTATTCTTGGCTTTCAACAATCTTAATCAACGATTTACAAGTATACTTGCTCAACAACCACTTTTCATACCAAATAATCGGTATATGAACTTAAATCTGTATCTTAATTACCTAATTTCAATTATACCAAATCATATTTCACAAATTGTTTATCTTCATCTATCGGAACGACGTGCTCCACATGCAGTGGACTTATTTCTTTCGACAGTACCTCTCGAAGCACACAATTGGTCTGCATTGAAAGCTGTTACCATCGAAGATGTTCCATTTCATGCACTCGAAGCATTATTGGATGATAATTCACTTTTATCGAATGTTCATTTTCTTTCAATTGATATAGGTATCGATCGATATCATCATTCTGAATACAATATCTATGATTTCAACGTCGTTCTTCCAGTGCTCGAGTATTTATCTGAACTACGATTACTCCGTATACGGATGCATACTCATATGAACGATAATTATTCTATTGATTTCAATCGATATTGTCCACCTATGGTTATTCATCAAAATTTGCATACACTTATGATTCATGAATGTTCAAAAGAGTTGTTAGTTTTGATGCTGAACAATGGTCATTTGTCTCAATTGTATCGTTTGCATGTTTCTCTTGAATGGTAAGTGATAAATATTCTATAAACAAAGAAATTTTATAATTATTTTTAAGTAAACACGAATGTCTAGTGATTGAACCACCATGTCCAACACCGTTGAAATCAACATCAGTACCCAAACTACGTCATATCAATGTTAGAATAATGGTTGGTCTTGCTTGGGTTTTAGCTTATTTTGAAGAAATTCAACGTCATAGTCAACTCGAACATTTGAAGATATCCGGTCATACAAGGTTTACCTTGAATAGTAATTTTCCACGAGTATCTGCATTAAAGCAATGGTTGACTATGAATAAATCAAAAGAATTTACATTTCAAATGAAGTTATCTGTAGATGCTACACATGATGCAACAGAAATTCAAAAACTTATAGTTACCGAATATAACAAAGCCATTGGTATTAAAAAAACAACCTATTATCGAAGTATTAATCTTAATTATTCAGCATCAAATAATACATATAAAAACAACAAAGATCCTCGAGTTGAACTTTTTGATGATGAACCAATCAACGAATATGTTGTCAAAGTAAGATAACCACAATAATAAAAAAAAAAAGAATATTTTTTATTCCGACTTTCAGATGGAAATTATGGAAATGGATTATATCAATGATGAATTGCTTGAATATCTTCAATTAATTCCTCGTTGGCATTGTCTAAGAAAAATAATTCTTGAAAGTGATTATCCATATGTGACGTAAGTTAGCAGAAACATTGACTATAAATATGTTTTTCTTGTATTTGTAATATAGTGAAATGCTTGGTGAAAATATTCCACTTTTACTTCATATTGCTCAACGTGCACCATATTTTCGTGAATTTTATATTGAAGCAAATCTAAATTTAGGTCATATACTGTCATCAAATGCTCAACTTGGTATTTTACTTGTATCTCAACTTGAAATATTTTATTTTACTGCAAAAAATTCTAATTGTTCACTTGGTGATCTTGTTGAAATTGTTGATACTCTTTTTGCTCATTCATCAGTATCATCAACCATCTTGAAACAATTAACATTAAATGTTGATGGACATCCAAGTTCATGGCTTACTATTGATCATTTACTCATTCATATTGGAAAGATATTAGATCGATTTCCAGCACTTATTCATTTTACGTTATATTGCCAACATGATACAGAATCTCAAGATAATTCTTATAATTTATCGAAATTAGCTCCAGAATGGTATGCTCGATTATTACTTTCTCGATCACATTTGATTGATTCATTAGAATATAGATATAAGACATATTCACTTGATATTTGGTTGTAAATATTTTCTTTGTTTCTTTTTTGAAATAAAAATGATATGCAGAAGAATTCATATTGTGTATTTGATCATTGGAACAGATGAACACGATAAAAATACTGATGAATAAATAAGAGTATTAACAAGATCAAGTAAAAGTTGATGAACTAAAATATAGACATTTTATAGGATATTGATTAGAGAAAAAAAATTCTTTTTCGTTGACTCTAAATACTCGTTTCTACATTAATATAGATCAAACAGTACGATAATTCGCATCTTGGTCGCCCGTGAAGATGAATCATGTAGAAAAATATTTCCAAATTTTAGAACCTTTTGACATATAGGTTCTCGATATTGATCGATAGGACTAAATTGTGAGAACAAGTATGTGTGAGCGTTTCTGCTGTTAGTCACTCACACCCTTTTCGACATTTAAATATTTTCTTACATTTTAGATGATTGATCAATTTTCAATATTCGAAATTTTCTTCATATAAACACTATTGAATACTATTATGAACTCGACATGTGATAACGATAAATATTAAAGAACCTTATAGAGGTACATAGATGTGAATATCATCTTATCATTCATATCTTTTAGGTTTTTTTCTCTAGAAAGAAAAAAAACTATGTAAATTTGATAAACCGCCGTGAACCCTAAAAAGAAACGATATCTATTGTTTTGATAAGACATATATCGTGGAAAGGTGTGCGAATGAGTTATTTATTTTAAATTGAATTTTGAAAGAATATTTAAATATCTTTCTATTCTTTCATTAAGTTCAAAATCACATAAATTTTCACAAGAAACAGAACAATGTTTCAACAATTATTATATATTTTTCTTGTTTTATTTATTTCATCATTAGCTTCCAATCGTACTTCATTAACTGGTGGTTATTGGATAATAAATAATAACATCAATCATACAGCACAACATAATATACCTGGTACAATTCATACAATACTTTTTATGGCCAAACAAATACCTGATTCCTATTTGGAAAATAATGATATTGATTTACGTTATTTAATATATAATAACTGGCATTTACCAAAACAAATTTATTTATTTTCTGATTTTGTTGTTTCAAATCAAATAACAATACATTTAGAATAAATTGATACAGTGGCTACTATAACAATAAATAGTTGTCTTATCGATAAAACTAATAGTATGTTTATACCTTATACATTTCATATTGCTAAATCATGTTTAAAATATGAAAATGAGATTCGTATTGATTTTGAATCCCCAATACTTTATGCGTTACAACAAACTAAGACATATACGTAATGATACAGTACCACCAGATTGTCCAAGATCAGTTCAACATGACGAATGTTACGTGCAATTTATTTGAAAAGAACCATATTCATTTAGTTGAGGCTGTGTATGAATCTAATTTGTGATTAGTTTCTTTTCTCAAATAAGACTATCTTATCTATTGATGGTATAATGAAATAGTATCAATGATAAGCTTTGATCATTGACATCTTATAGGAGGAGAAGAAGAGCACTCTTTCAAAAGTTCTATAGTTGAATCTTGAAGGTTCAAATTCATTACAGACTAATTAGTTATAATAATAATATCAATGAATGTCTTTTCCTAGCGACATTAATATTTCGAGGGTGTGGGTGTGGGGTGAGTGGGTGTTGGTGTGGATGTGGATGTGGGATGCAGATCTCGTTATCGATCCTCTTTTCAATCAAAACCATAGTCTATCCACATCCTCGTGCCACTTTTACACGTGCATCCACACTCCACAACCACACCACCCACACCCATTGTTTAGTTTTTCAATGTAAAAATCCAATAGAATAGTATATCTGGTTTCCAACTTCACTATAGACACAAGTAAAGAATATAGAAAAGGATGTGATCCATTAAACTTAGCTTATTCATCTTCTTATCAGGCACCTTGAAGTACCAGTGGAACTTTTTAGTTTATTGTTCTATGTAAAAAGCTATTTTTTTACCCAGAAAATACGAATGAAAAATGTCTTTCCTTATATTTTCTTTTGAATTACATTGTACAAAGATATATTTTTATGATGCCAAAGTTTGAACTATAATCAACATTTTAGATGTTTTTTGATTTGAAAGTATTGCTGAACATGTTTCTTCCAATAATCATCAATTAGTATTCAACAAAGATAATGATAGACGAGGTGCAACGTTAACTTCTAATGTAGAAGACAAACTAGATGACATATCAAATGAAGTATTTAAGTTATCCTGGTTGATGGTATCCTCCCGTTTGGTCGACAGGTCCTTAATTGGTCCCTTTTCGTCGACAGAATTTTTTTCCTATTTCGTCGACAGAAATTTTCTTCCTGTTTTGTCGACAAAAATTTTTGTCCTGTTTGGTCGACAGAATTTTTCATCCTGTTTGGTCGACAAAAATTTTCTTCCCGTTTGGTCGACAGAAAATTTCTTCCTGTTTAGTCGACAACTTTTCCTCTCTTTGATACACCGCATTTTAATAATTAATAATTTGGTCGACTAGTTAAGGGTAGTCTAGTCACTTGCATAACGAGTATTCACTTATTTTGAAAGGTGGAAGGTTATTTTAAATATAGATCACTATTAGTGTTTTATAGGTGACAATATAATCGATGTAATCGAATAACGATACATCAGTAAGACTAGTATGATTAACTTTTATTAGAGAAGATCATATCGATTACATAAAGTGAATGAATCATGATGAAAAAAAACAAACCACCACAATAACTTGGATATTCTTTGTTTCTATCTCTACTAATATTCCACATATTTGAATTAAAATATATACAATAATTGAAACTCGAAAAGGTAAAGAATGTTTAATTTTCAATGGCTATCGATACTTACGTGATCGTATTCGTAATGTCGATGCTTAATGGCATTGCAAGAATCGAAATAAATATCCAGGACGTTTTACTCAAAAAGGTGATCGAATTTTTGTTGCAACTACTCAACACAATCATGAGCCAAAGAATCAAAAAGTCCAACAAAAATTGTTTATAACACATTTAAAAGAATAGATACATGAAAATTTGACACCAGTAAGAAAAATATCATAATTTTTTGTACTATTTTTTTGCATCTGATGTCATACAAAAAATAAAAGAAGTGCAGTATTTCGGTACCTAGATCGAATATCAAAATTGTACGATGATTCTTGTGATTCTTTATCAGCTGTCTCTTAACTAGTCGACCAATCTATTAATTATTAAAATGCGCTATATCAAAGAGAGGAAAAGTTGTCGACGAAACAGGAAGAAAATTTCTGTCGACCAAACAGGAAAACAATTTCTGTCGACTAAACAGGAAAAAAATTTCTGTCGACGAAACAGGAAAAAAATTTCTGTCGACGAACAGGGAATTTTTTTTTGTCGACAAAACGGGAAAAAAAACTCTGTCGACGAAAAGGGACCAATTAAGGACCTGTCGACCAAATGGGACTGAACCCTGGTTGATCTGTCCAGGTTTCTTCGGCTGTGAATTTTGCATAACTAATTATTTGGATAAAGCTGCAAGCTCTTAATCATTTTATTCGAAGATATTGAGAACTCACTTTTGTGTCATAAATCAGATAATACGAAACAATATCCATGTTTATCATTTACAAAATTTGTTTTATTCGATAATATCTTTATGACTTTACTGAGAGTTTCTCTATAATCTAAACTCCTAACAGATTGACTTTTTTTTTACTGAAAAAAATCTGAAAGCATTTCATTTATTTCTATTTGAAATAATACTTGTTTTAATCAATGTCTTTAAATTTAAGTAAGGTCTCAAATGAAATCAATAAATACCATATACGATTACCAGTAATTGTTTTGTCGTATTGGTTTCGATAGACATCATTAAATTACTACTACCTGCAATGTTTTTCTAATTTGATTCTTGCTTAGATTCAATCTATTTTTGTTTTATTTTAAATATATTTTTTTTTTAATTTTATTTCATGCCTTTTTATGGAAGGCACTTGAATAGGTTTTGAATCGATATTGTGAGCAATATCAATTTAACTAGTGCATTAATTGTGAATTAAATTTTCAATTGATGAGATAAATTATATTTTCGAAACTCACTGAATATGCGATTCTCTTAATATGTGTTATGGCAAGTATGTAAACGTACCACACAAATTGTGTTGTATTGTATTTTTATACATGTTTGTTCTCTTTCTTTCTTTTTCTTTCCATACACATATTATTAACTATAGTTATATTTCTTCTTTCGTTCTCTCAGATATTTTTTTCTACTATTCTCTTTATTACTGCCTCCATTATTGTGATATAATGACTCATGTATTTTTTCAATTTTATTATCTTTTTTTTTATTGGTTTTTTCCTACATCTTCCTCATATCTTATATATAGACCCATTTTTCCTATAACATAAATGTGTTGGTAAAGAGATAGATAAAGAGATTTAGGACAGTAAAACATAAAGATACTAAAAATTTAATCTAACCATTATTAAATAAAATCATAAACACCATATATACATCAGTGTAAGTATTATACATAGAAGTATTCTACTTAATACGATTTCTCACTGGGTGTAAGAAATTAAACTAGAATTGTATGGTTCATCATATAAAAATGAAGAAAACTACTTCGATTAAATAATAATCGTTAATCACGGTATTTATATAATAATGAGATTCTCTGAATTGAGTCTGAGTGAGGTCTTAAATGACTTTGGAAATCTTTTGAAATTCGAAACTTGAGGTACGTCAAGTTGATCTCGCACTACAAATACAGCTCGTACACCATCTTGTATTTATTCACAATGCACATGACTTTAATACTATTGTTCTTCTATTCTTAGGTATTGATTTAAAAGAAAATGCCATATACAGATCGTAACATTAATTCTAATGATATTCTGATAAGAAAAGTATTAGAAGGTGTTGAACATATTTATCGAACTAAAGAAATGCAACCTATATCATATATGGACCTTTATAAGTAAACGAGTTTATTTTTCCTTTTTTGTTTCTATTTCATTATTGGAATCTTTTTTCATAGTTTGGTTTATAATTATTGTCAAAATACAAATACTCAATCACAAAGCTTTCGATCAGAAATATCTAGAAGACGTACTCAAACTAATCGACCATATGATCCACATGATATAAACAATCTTGTTGATGAAGAATTATACATCAAATTGAAAGATTATTTAAAAACTTATTTGGAAGAAATTTTTAAAGTAAGATTAGTTGCTCGAGAGAGTAATTAATATTTATTAAATTATAAGACTATAAGGAATTTTAATTTAAATGTTTGTAAAAGTGAGAGTTTATGTTGTTTTTTTGAATGACAATAATCTGTAGCTAAAGTACACTCGTCATCATGAATATCATCTTGTCATGTGGAAGAGAATGGAAAGAAACTATTCTGAATTGCTATGTAAACTAATGTATCAATATAAAAAAACTTATACATTCAATCACGAAAAGATAGCGAATACTTGAAGAGTATAGAATACCTATATACACTTGTAGTATAGTGTTCTATTTTCAATAGATTAAAGTGAGACAAATCAATCATGAAATAATGTTTTAAAAAAAATAGATTCATTCTTTTCTTTTTATTTAATATGAAATGATTAAAAATATATTTTAAAAAATTATGTTGCATCACATATTATTGCAAAGGAAAAAGAATTCCTCTTGATTTTGCGCAATTAACAATGTTAGGAATATCATTTTATTTTCACCCGCGAAGTAATTTGTTCTGCAGGATTTTCTATCTCCTACGTTGTACAAGCTTTAATATTGTTGTAATTGATTTACATAGAATTTAAGAATTATGTTAGAATAGTCATAAAGTGAATTTTAACTTCATTCTATAACAACAACTATTCACTACTTTTATTCATATGACTTAAATTGTGCTCTGGTTATATTTCTAAATCTGAACGGGTATATTTTTACTTTCGAGCTTACCTAGTGTTCATAAATATTACTTCTACGATATCATCCAAAATCAATAGGATATCTTGTTATTTCATTTTATAATCTCAAGTAAATAGTTTCGTTCTAAAATTTTATTTATTCAATATCTTATGACATTGAACTTTTCTAATACTATTAGACAAAATAAAGAATTTTGTCTAGTGATAAATTATTCTTCAAAATGAACAAATCAGAAATTCTTTTTAATCATTTTCAATCCCTTCAAATTTGACTGATGTCATTCGAGTAGTACTTAAAGTGAAAGAATCAGTTTTAAAATAAACAATTTATGCACAATGTTATATTATCTAACAAGATTTTATTACTATTATTCCGATACTAGCTATGAGTCGTAGTAGAAACATCAAGACTTGTCTCGTTTGAATGTAGCTCAACAGTTTTCTTTACCTACAAACGATTATCTTATTAGTTAATGAGCAAGTCACGTTGAGTCTAAAATTCAAAGAGGTAATGAAGTAACCAATCAAAAATATGGTCTATCTCTGTGTCACACTCTTTCATTCTCAATCTTTGGCGGTTCTATTGCGATTTATAATAGCTAGTATATTAGTTCAAAAATCATTTTATTTCTAATTTTTAGCTTCTATTATTGTTTCTAATGATGAAATTTTTGTTTGTGGAACAGACTTGATTTACAAGACGAAAATTTACTTCATTTCTATGCCACAAACTGGGACGAGTATCGATTTTCAAGTAAAATAACAAATGGTTTTTGCCTTTATCTAAATCGACATTGGATATGAAGGGTATATGATTCAGGAAGAAGAGATGTTTATGAAGTTTTCATTGTAAGTAAAGTTAGATTCTTTAACTTTTCAAATCAATTATAAAACTAATATCATTTTAGATGGCGATGAAAATTTGGAAACTTGTTTTCTTTCAACCATTACAAAGTCAAGTAACATTAACATGTCTTCAATTAATCAATGCCGAACGTCAAAATGAAACGATTAATGGTCGATTTATACGTGCAGCTGTACAAAGTTATGGTAAAGGTCAAGATTCTTCTTTTTTTTCTTGAAATTTATGGGGAAAATTTTAGTCGAACTTGGCTTCTGTGAAGATTTATCTGGACCATATTGTATTGGTGAAATAACATCTTCAAGATTGAAAATTTATAAAGATTACTTTGAAGTACCATTTCTTCAATATACAGACGAATTTTATCGATGAGAAGTAGCTTATCTTCTTGTTCACAATTCTATGAGTGAATATTTGAAAAAGGTTTACTATTTTTGACTTTTTATAGAAATGATGAAACATCTCATATTATTTACGACAGGTCAAACAACGTTTTCAAGAAGAAATGCGTCGAGTAGAATCATATTTACATTCATCAACATTAGCACCATTAATTGAAAAACTTGAACAAATATTCATTCTTGATCAACTTGAAGCAATCTATACTGAAGCAAAAACACTTTTATGCGATGAAAACTATTCAGGTATATAGAAAAAAAAAATTAATCTAGAAAATTTCATATAATCGATTTTAAATGATTTATTTTTTTGATAGATTTCGCATTTCTATTCAAATTAGTTAGTCGAGTACCAAATACGATCGTTGAATTGAAAAAAAATTATTGAAGAAAATTTTCGTCCAAAAGCTATTAAATTTATTGAACGAATCAGTGCCACTGCAATTGATGTAAAACTAATTTACCATCGTACCTTATAATTATACTTATTTCTCTTTGTTCTTTTTTTTTAGGCTCCGACAGAGTATGTTAAATTAGTTCTTAAAATTCATAATGAATTCTTTAAAGTTGCACAAAATTTTTTTAATAATGACGAACATTTTATTGCTGTTGTTGATAAGGTAAATAGAATATTTTCAAAATAATCTCATTTATTATCTTATGTATTTAGATTTGTAGAAATTTTATTAATAATAATGTATTAACAGAAGCTGCCGATAATGCAAGAAAACCAGCTGAATTATTAGCCCGATATTGTGATATACTTTTACGAAAGGGGTTTGTTTAGATTTGACATTTATTTATTAAATTATAACCAATGAATAATTTTAGAAGTGAAATTGAACAAGAAGTCGATCAGATTATGGTACTATTTTCTATTGTTATTATTTTTGGTTTAGTTTTTTAATTTAGATAGTTTTTGATTATGTCAAAGATAAAGATGTTTTCGAAAAATTTTATCATAGAATGTTATTCAAACGTTTATTATGTAACGTAAGGGAATCGAAAGATTGTGAAGAATCAATGATTTTAAGATTAAAAGTAAATAAAATTTATTTATTATTGAAACAAACTTCTATTAAATGTCACTTTCAGAATGCATGCGGTTTGACATATATATCAAAATTACAAAAATTATTTCAAGATGGTAATGTTAGTAAAACGTTATTAGATCAATATCGAATATATTGTGAGAAGAAGAAGATTAATGATATTGGTATCAATATTTTAAAATAAATCTTTTTCTAAATTTATATATCATACGTTTTTCTTGCTTTTTGTTTTCATTAAAGTTGATTTTACTGTATTGGTTCGCAGTTCAAATTCGTTGTCATTGTCCGCATCATCAAATTTTATTATACCAATTGAAGTAATGTTTATTTTTGTTCACTATTATCTATGCTATCGTACATTTTTAGCTTAAACAAACATTTGACAGTTTCACAAAGTTTTATATGGAACAACATAATACACGTAAGTTGATATGGCTTCATCAACACTCCAAAGGAGATTTACAAATATTGTATACTGACAAAAAATATATTCTACATGTAAATATTGATTTATTTGAAAAACAAAAAAAAAATTGATTTTATTATTTTTTGAAATACAAAAGGTATCAATATATCAAATGGGTATTTTACTTCTATTTAATAAACTTTCAAGTTGGACAGTTGAACAAATGCAAGATGAAACACAAATCAAAATTGATTTATTCTTGCAAGTTCTTTATAGTTTATTGAAAAGTAAATTGATTAAATGTTATGAAATCAATGATGATCAACTTGATAAAGGTTTTAATGCAAGTTATATTAAAATGAATTATACTATTCATATAAATGAAAATTTTCGTAGGTCAGTATTTTTTTTTTGTTTTGTGTTATTCATCTTTTTTTATGAATTTATAGAATCATTAAAAAGAATATTTTATTTTTAATAAGAAATCGTAAAGAATATTCTGATTTTGGTAATACGATAGACTACTTATGATCTAACTCGAACATAATCACCTTTTAGAAAATAAATTTTTATTTTAATAACAATAAATTAATTTTTAATGAGTAAGAAAAGAATGATAAAAGAGAGAAATATAAACAGATAGATTCATTAGTAGATTGAATAATATGATCGAAAAATGAGAAAATCATAATCAGTGAGTTATGAAACAAAAGAAGACAAGAATATCATTATCAAAAAGAACCAAAAACAAATGTTGTAAAAAACGGAAATTAATATATGGATGTGATAACTAATGAAAAATTGATTAATAAAATAGAACATATTTGACTATAACAAATGATACAGAAAACAATAAAATCATAAATATGAACTATTCTACTTATAACAAAAGAATATAGCTCGCAGCTAGCACCGTTATATAGACTTCTAGTTTAATCTCCAGATTTCTCGATTTAAATTCGAACAAAAGTACTAGGACACTACAGCATTTAGTTGCACTTAAACTATAAAGAAAATCATAAGAGGTTGAACTAGTTTTATAGGTTACTATTATGAGTAAAATAGCTGATTGAATTAAAGCCACAGATGATTCACATATTGTATCTTTATAATATCTTCGCTTAAACCTTGTTTATGTTAATCTCTTATTATATCATTTTTTCTTGTTAGTACCTTCCATTTATCCTTATTCAATTTCAGTACTGATTAATGAAGTCTTAAATAAATACACAGTAGACAGTGATCATATTGTATAGATAGCTAAAAATCCTTGCGTAAACAAAATTTATTGGTTATCTATCCAGAGAAATTAATTGTAAAATGAAAATTGAACAATAATTATAGCTTAATATTATTTCCAAACATTCAACAAAGTTTTTATTCATGCATGATAATTAAATTAGTCCGAAGTTTTTGTAATAGTAATTATATGTGGTATTGTATAATTATGAAAGACAAACAAAATAAATGAGAAAATCTATCTTAGATTGAATATCTAATAGATTCTAAATACTAACTATAGGCACTATTTATTAGACTAATATCTTCAATTCCAATCTTCCACTAGATTAAAGTATGCTCATTATTATCGGCAAGTGTTAATATTTGACTAATAGCTGACGAAAAATACTTGATAAAATTTTCCTCAGTAGACATCTGGATATAAATATACGTATATTTACATACATGCTGTTTGACTAGCTACAAAGTTGTATAATTGCTGAATAGCATATAGAAAACCGATGAATGTGAGCTATGTCTAAATCCTAATACATCAACGCTTAGAATTTTTAAATCCATTTATCCATAGTTCTTTTCTATGAGCCCATACAAGATCAGCAGTTACAATTATACTATCAATAATCATATGAAAAATTTAACTTGTGTCTCAAGAGTAAATGTTAAAAATTTTTAAATTTTGTTTGTTTAGTAAAAAAACACGACTAAATTTGAATGTACCATGCAAATCAGTCGAACAACAAGACACTGAAAATTTATATCGAACAATTGATGATGATCGACGAACCATTATTCAAGCTGCAATTGTTCGAATAATGAAAGCTCGACTAACTTTAAAATATGCATTACTAGTACAAGAAGTTATTCAACAATTAAGTTCACGTTTCGAACTCAGAATACCGATGATCAAAGTAAATTCTATTATAATTCTATTAAAAATTTTTAATCGAAGAATATTTTTTATTTTAGAAATGTATTGACATATTAATTGAAAAAGAATATATTGAACGGCACCCAAATGAATATGGTATGCTACGTTACTTGGCTTAAAATAAATAATCAAATGATTCATATGACAAACATGTCGAAAAATTGAACTTTTACCTATTCTTGCTTTTCATGAAAACTTCAGAAAAATATGTTAATTATTAATAAAATCAATGTTTTTTTTTCTTTGAAACGATTTAATTGACAACGTCTTTCCCTTTTCCCACCTATCGTGGCAAACAAAAGCTTAGTTGTATTCTTTTAGTTTTCTTCTCGATGATAAGGGTGTGGGTGTGGGTATGGGTGTAGGATGCAGGTGTCGGTGTGTGTTTGTAGGTGTAGATATGGATGTACCTGTGGGTGTGGGTGGGGTGTCGATACATGTGTGGGTTTGTGTGTGCTTGTAGGTGTGAATATGGATGTACCTGTGGCTGCAGATGAAGAGAAAATCAACACGCCCAGCGACAACCACACTCACCCCACCCCACCCGCACTCCACACCCACACCCACCCACACTCACACCCACATCCCACACTCACACCCACACCCACACTCACACCCACATCCCACACTCACACCCACACCCATACCCCAGAGTGTTAAAAGAGACTATGTCAATAGTAATGGAATTCCCAGCATCTGCATATTTCTCAAATGAAAGTTGATTCAACTCTCATATTGAGCACACATTTAAAAGTATCTTCTAGAAAGTGATCAAGTTTCAGTATTATTAGTTATATTCATTTCTTTTTATTAACTAAAAGAAATGAAGAAGCAGAGCAATACATTAAAAAAAATCTGATAAGAGAACTTCGACCATGATTGAGTCTTTTTTTCTATGACAAATAATTCATTCAAATTTTAATGTAGATTTGATATACGATATTTTTTTGCGAAAGTTTCCAGAAATTCAAATGAAAGTTGTATCTCAAACGATTTCTCCAATTTACAAATATGAATATGCTCTAGAACTGACTTTTCACCAAGTTATAAATCTTCAACCGATCTTTCAATTAGAAAAAAAGTATTGCCGATTCTTTAATGGCAAGTAAATGAGATCGATATCTATTGTTCTATCTAAATTTTTTTTTTCTTGTACTAAATTTTTTCTGCAATACTTGTACAGATTGTATTTTAACATGTGAGATCGTTTTGAAGTGAGAAATATATCCAAATAGATTCTGTTTTCTTCTAGCTAAATCTAAATGAGGTTTCCATCTTGATCGAATGATAATCAGTAGGAAGAGAAAGTGAATAAGGTCGGGAACCTTGATCATGACCACCAGTGATAACACTGCCGAATTCAGCTCTACATGGCCACCGTATTACTTGATGATCAACTATATCGGTCATATAGACAGTAAGGAGGAAACAGCAGACTTTAAGACAGAAGTCTCTGCTGTTTCCTCTAGATAGACAGTGTCCAAACGATCGACAAGAATACTATAGAACAAGTTAAAAAATATTGACTACTTCTGATTGAAGTGCTGAGTGTTTAACTGAATCTTGCAACTTGTTTGTAGTCAGAACTTTTCAAATGGATTCTGACTTTTAAAAAAGTGTGCAATATGATATAGACATTAATGGTGGTACTACAAACTGACGCTGTAATACTGGAGTGTCAACAGTAGAGGACAAATTCAGTTCTATGATCTTGGTGTGTTCTAAAAGAAAATTGTTTGAATAATACTTGAGATAATGAAAATAAGTGAGAAAAAGCAAGTTGCTTTCATTGAAATGTGATGGTGACGCACTATCGCTCAAGACTTTCTCGAGGTAAATGAAAACTGGAAGCTAAACGCATTCATTTGGATCGTATACATAAAAGAGTATCGAGGAATAGAAATTGAAGATTGTGCGACAACCATTAGTATGATTTGAAGAGTGTCACTGGCCAGCAATGCACTTTCATCTTCGGAAATTGTCGTTCTTTTTTGTCTTAAGAGCAATGTAAAGAAAAATCTGCTTCGCTACTCTCATGTGAATATGTTATGAAAAGAAAATAGAACATTTGAAGAGAGTGAGCTTTGAATATTTCTTTGTTCATTTGATGAGTTTTTGAAACAAAGAAAGTCATGTCTCAATCTTGTTCATTGCGATCATTGTATAATATAATCCGTGAGAAATTCGTTTCACTGAACCTTTTTGACTCTCGATCATCACATCGGCCGACTGTTCGCCGCGAGATTTTTTCTACTCGTTTACTTATTATTTTGCTTGTCGTCTCGGTCTTAATTCTCACTTTGTACACTTCGATCAGTGTTCAAACCACGAGTGAAACTGTCAAATGGCCGAGTCAAAGTATCTATGAAAGTCTTCGAAAGCAATACCCGAGTACTCTGCAATGTCCTTGTGCGAACATGTCGATACCCTATGAAAAATTTGTCAATATTGTTCCATCATTTCATCAAGTCTGTTCCAGTCACTTCGTCTCTCAAAAGTGGATTGACTTTGCATTCGAAACAAACACAACTTTCATCTGGCCTATGGACATTCGAACAAGTTTGAGTGCTATGTGGCAACTCATTGGTTCGCTTTGCCAAAGTGCAACTAACACAATCAATGATGCATTCAATCAATTTGCTAATTCAGCAATAATTACCCGCATGGCATTGCCTGAAGAATTACTCAAAGCGAAAATGCAAGCTGCTCTTGATCTAATGCGTCGAACAGCATCAAGTGCTTGGATGAAACCGTTGACCGCTATTCATCGCATAACACAAGCAAATGGATTCATGACAGGATTGTTAACGAACTATATCGCTGTTCAGCCAGGTATTTTTACAGAAGAAACACGACTTATGTGGACACTGATGAATACATATATACTCAAAGGAGCGACCAAATCTTGTTCTTGTCAAAATGATGGGTCATGTCCTATGGCTGCTGGTCTTTATCTATACAATATGAGGGAGACATATGGGTTATATGATTTGAACATTCTTCAACCAAATTCTACACTATCCGGCATTGTAATTGACTGTTTACCACTGCAAATGACACTGGCTTCGTCATTGGAATGTTTTTACAATGAATCATGTATGAATATTCTCTTTTCGATCTATTCAAAAACAGTCAACATTTCAATTCTTGATGCATCGTCGCCAAGTCGTTTCCTTCCAACAACAAACATTGAATTCCTCATCAATGAACTTTTCATCGAAGAGATTTTCAATGAAATGATTTACAAGAAATATTATCTTGAATGTGCACCAATTTACTGCACGTTTAGTTATGCACGTCGGTTCTATTGGATCTATGTTGTTACAACTCTTATAGCTCTTCTTGGAGGGCTTTATACAACATTACACCTAATTACTCCATATTTGATTGATTTTATTTTATTCTTGAAGAAACGACGATCAGTTCAAATTGAATCTCAACAGAATGAGAGTAAGATATTCAATAGTATGAAGTCCTTGTAAGATTTGATAGTTTTAGATAAACCAATGCAGGTTCGTCTGAGAGATTTCTTAGTGAAAATGAAAATGTCAATAGTCGAATTGAATTTGTTCGATGATAATTCATGCGATCCGTTGCGTATTAGACGTGGTCGCAGTGCAACTCGACTCTATCTGATAATTTTAATTGGTACGATAAGTGTTCTGATAGTCTACACGTCAATATCTGTCCAAACGATCAATAAAACTGTTCAATCACCACCACTCAAGCAATATGAAGAATTGCGCGAACGGTATTCGGATACACTGCTATGTCCGTGTTCTGTTGTTTCGATTCTATACGAAGAATTTGTTACAGTGACGCCAATCTTTCATCAATTGTGTTCGAGTGACTTCGTTCAACCATGGTGGTATCAAAGTCTTCTTTCTTATTACGAGCTTGACTCTCATTTGATATCCTCTGCATCATCTCACTTTCGAACACTGGCCATGTTTTGTGAGATAGCCAATTGGACTATTGTCGATGCAAGTCGTCGCTTTTCTTCGACAGTATTCATCAATGCTAACGTTATTGTCCGTAGTTTGTTCGATTCAGAAACATATGCATTGATCGATATGTTTCTAAACTCGACACGAGCCGAATTTCTGTATACGATGTCACTCATTGATGCAGTTATTGACGCCAATCAATATGTCAGCGCCATGGGAACAAACACTCTCCTTTCGGAAAGGAATTTTTCTGCATTCGGTCTATTTGGATCAGAGTCAGTCAAGATCGTTATGTCTAGTACGGTAGCTACAGAAGAAAATGGTCATTTATGTTATTGTGTTCGGAATGCTTCATGCAACCTAATGAGCATCTTCGACGAATATTTTCTAACAGTAGAAGGAGTGCGCTCGGCCGGCTGCTTCATAGTGGATATGGTACTACAATCGTCACTCATATGTTGGTATGACATTAACTGTATCAATGAAATCCGAACATGGTTTGATTTCTTCGGAGTGCCTCTTCCCGAGAATGTCACTCTTCTCGATCCTCTGCTGCCCAGTCGTTTTTCGCCCAACACTTCTATCGCCATGATTGTCAACGAGATCATGGTTGAACGATGGAATTCATCTTCTTCATATGAGAATTTCTATCAGAAATGTAGTCCTGTCTATTGCTCATATAGTTACCAAGAAAGAAGTCATTTAGTATATATTGTTACGACGATCATCGGTCTCGTCGGTGGTCTTAATATCATTCTTCGATTAATCTGTCCTGTTGCCGCCAGAATCTTTCTCAAATATACTGCGAAAACAAATTTGAACAGTTCAACACAAGCCTGGACCAGTCAAGACCCGATTGATAGTAAGTGATCTATATGTCTGATGAAGGAGGTAAATTGCAGGATTCAATTAGACTTTCTCTCAAATTACTATTGCATTATATGTGTTAAAACATGTTCGCCTATTTCTATACAATAGCCATACATATACAGAAAACTCAATATATAGGATCAGCCAAAACATTTTCCTTGGGAATTCTTTCCCAAATGAACAATATTACAGAAAGCGAAAAGTCGCAAACGACGAGTAATTGAAACTGTTTGATGCAATACTGGACTCTTCTAATTGAGTCATCAAGCAAATATTAGACTAGTTTTTTCGTCGTCCAAGAC